TGAATCGCATGTCAGCGTTAACCATTGGCTGTCAGAATTGAATACTGTGTACTCAACGTTCGTGTAAAGTATATTATAATATATATATTTTGTTCAAGACCAATCACAGTAATCAAATGTAATGTGTGAGATCAAAATCGTTTTAAAATTTGAAAATATGAATGTCATATCAAACGAAAATAGCAATTATCAATGATGAATAATGAAAAATGCAAAATCCTGCATGTGGTTTTTAATGCCGGAATACGCTGAAACGGGATCTGAACCTGCTCACGAAGTGGGGACCCATCTAAGACTATCCTCACCATCGGACTACCGTTTGATGAGCCATGCAAACGTGCCGAATTCAGCACTTACAAACGTTCTAGAGATGCGACGAATACTATATTATACGTCGTTTAACCTGTACATTTTTACGATTCGCGGTCACGGAAACCGTAATCGTAGCTATTTATTTCTTAGAACGTTTGACGTATCTCTTAATTTTTAATCGTAGACGCCCAACAGACAGATACTGAGTTTAGCGGCTATCATACAGCATTATATCACGATATCCCCAAAGGTATGCATAGTATGAAGGCATACAACGACTGAAGAGCAATGATTATGCATTTTTGTATAAAAATATAATCTGATGTACGTCAACAATAGGTACTTGCATTTATTTTTATATAATATATTATTATATATATATACACATATATAATCGTATTTCGTACGCTGACGAGGAGACGATACAAGTCGCGGAGGCGTCCGAGGCGGGAGACACCGAAAGAAGCAAAACGCGGGCAGAAAACAGTATTGATGACAGACGACGACCGGAATGACGTATAAGTCGCTTTTCCGGACGCGAACGAAATCTGGAGACGCGACCGGACGAAAGACCCTGCCTGCCAGGAAGCCAGAGAACGCGACGGAAAGAGGTCTGAAAGGCCTGGAAAACCAAGAAGCTGAAAATGGTAAAAAACGTGAAGAGTAAATGACAATAACCGAACTGGAGAAACGATAACGACGGCTGTTGGAGAAACGATAACGACGGCTGTTGGAGAAACGATAACGACGGGGAGATATGGGACACGACGACTGGAAGAAAAAAAACGGAATTTTTCGATTGGCCAGTACACTAAACCAGAGCACTCTGGCGAAAAAACCCAGGAAGCTCGTTTTGGTTTTATATTATAAGATTTTATTATGAACTGGATAAATGTGACAAATCAAATTTTTGTAAAATAATTATTTAATCACATTTAATTATTATAATTGTTTTTATTATTTACTTTTTATTAAAATTGTCTACAGCTTTCTTTCGTGTAATACATAAATTTACTGATATTTTATGAGTGAGAGTGCCCATCTCTAGTTTCTATATAGTAATAAACTACTACTATCCTTGAATTTCACAAAAATTATTTTATTTTAATTGATTTATATCATAATATATATATTAAATAAAAACTAGCTTTTAATTTGTTATTATATTATAGGTTCACAAAAGATGCTCAAAGGTATATTAAGAAATATTATATATTTACAAACTGATATAAAACATATCGAAATAAAGCAAAATGAAATATTAAATAAATTGGAATCTATTGTATCAAATTATGGAAATAATAGCAAACAAGATGATTCTAATAATGTCAATGAATTACAAGACTGCAATTTTCCAATCGATGATTTATATAATTTAAATATTATAGAAGACCAAATTAATACAAATTTAAATTTTAAAAAATGTTTGGTATGTATTTAGTGGTAAAATATATTATTATTTTTAATTTAAATAATGTAAAATTATTAAATATTATTTAGATCACAAATGGCTTATTAGCTAGATAATATCAATTTTCTGCAGTAATCAATTAAATTATTGTAGTTATTTTCACTTTAAACTATTATTAGTTAAAGTAGTTATATAGTCTGTTAAATATGTATTATTATTCTTTTCATTTCAGGTTCAATATTTATCATACTTGGGAGGTAATAACATTAATTGTACTATGAAGAGAATACTGATGAAATTATTTACTGACAATTTACTATCTTTATTTTCGTATAATGGTAAAAAAGGAAAAAAGAAATTTTGCGATCTGATTATTTGTCCTGTTATTTTTGGTAAGATTATTATTAACTAAATAATGTTATTTCTTCATATTTAGATAAGTGTATTATAGCTCTATATTATTTATTATTATTTAACAGATGCTGTAAAATGTCAATCCAAATTTATGAATGTTTCACAAAACGAATTGGAAAGTAGAATCAAGTATCATTTAGCACAGGCACCATTCAACATTAAAAAAAAACAATAAACTTGGATTAAATGCAGAAGCTGCAGACTAAAATTAACTAAAAACCATAGGTTTTTTTACAGATGAATTTTTCCAAAAAAAAAAAAATATGTTAAAAAGTATTAATTTTTTTTAAAACTATTATTATAAATAATATTCAATTGTTAATTTTTTTTACAATTTTAATAAAATAAAAGCTATATTAAACCAGTTTATTTTCTGCAATATTCTTTATAATTATTATTTAAGATTTTAATAAATAATAAGTTATCAATTCATTAATATTTGTTGTTTTTATTACCTTTATTATTTTAATTTTAGAACTTACCTAATCCTACTTTTAATATATTAATAACATTTCAAGTATTTTATATAGTGGTTTAACAAATTCTATTTTATTTTTAAATATTTAATTTTATTATTTATTAAATATTGGAATTTAAATTTAAAAGAATGTTTATTGTCAACATTGGATAAATATTAGAAATGGGTTCAAAAAACCAACTTTCAATATTTATTAAATATTTATAAATGAAAAATTAATGTTGATTAAATATAAAATGTTTAATATCAAATGTTAAATAAAAGTTAATTCAATATATGTTTGTTGTGTGGGTGTAATAGTGATAGTAATAACATCAAAGTTTGGTAGTTCACACGATGATAATGACTATCACTCTCATGATATTTAATATCCACTATCATGCACGCATGATAGTACGAGAGTCGCTTTCGTGATAATTTGATAGTCATTATCGATCTGTTCACACGATGACAGTTTCTCGATAGTAGCTGTCACGATAGAAACTATCACCGCGTGACCGCGACTTTACACAATAAAGGAATTTGTAATAAACAAAAGGTTTTTATATATATATAATTATAAGAGTGCGAACGTACGAAATAAACAAAAACAATATTTTGTATATCTAATTTCTCGTTCCCCAAAAATATATGGTCTTTCGAACAGGATATCAAGGCGAAAAATAAATTACAATTCGCTAAAAAACCAAATAAAGCGAAAATTCGCGTGTTAAAGCAGTGTGGATTAACGTTGAAACCACGAGGTAAGATCAAATTTAATATTTATTATCGGGCTTCCCGCAGCACATAAAATTTCCTATCGCATAATAGTCGTAGTATTACCTAAATAAATTGTCACTGAACTTGATATCAGTCAAATAGAACGAAGTTCAATAATAATGAGTGATCAAGATACGGCAACGCAAATAAAGAGGCGAGGGGTATTGAGAGGTCAGCTAACAAGATTTTTGAACGATGTCAATGAAGTTAAGACCGATAGCAACACTGAAATACTAAAAATAAAACGAAAAAAGATCAAAAAAAGCTGGGAGTTGTTTCAAAAAATTCAATTGGAAATAGAAATGCAAGTGCAAGATGAATCGGAAGACCAATATAAATTTGACTTCGAAGAGTTGTATTTTCTAGCAGTATCAAAATATAATAAATTGTTCGAACCACAGCAAGATACAAATGAACAAGTAGATCAAAATAATGAAAGTCAAAATCAAGCAATGTCGCAGCTGACAACAACAGCGCGAAGTAATAGTACCGCGTCAAATCAAGCATTGATTGTCAAGCTCGCGGCGCTCAATGTACCTACATTTAGTGGAGACTATAAAGAATGGTCCACGTTCCACGACATGTTCGTGGCACTTATTCATGGAAATGAGGCACTAACAGACTTTCAAAAAATTTTTTGTTTAAAATCAGCTTTTACAAGTGATGCCTTAATGGTCATTCAGAGCTTTGAAACGTCGAATAAAAATTATACAATTGCTTGGGAGTGCTTGAATGAGCGCTACAATAATAAACGCATACTAGTTAAAAACCATACAAAAGCAATTTTTGATCTAGATCCGTTAGAAGATGAATCAGCAATAAAATTAAGAAAATTCGTTAATAAGTTATTTGGTAATATGAAAGCGCTAGAAAGTCTAGGCCACGACCCAAATACGTGGGGACCAATGATGATTCACATAATTTGCACGAAACTAGATTCAGCTACACTACACGCATGGGAAGTACAGGCGCCGAAATCTGAAATATCAAACGTTTCCGATTTAATACAATTTTTAAATAAACGCTTTCAAGTATTAGAAGCCGTAGAAGGAGCTCAAAACTTACACGGAGAAGCTGAACAAAAAATAAGAGCAGCAGACCAAAAAGAAAAAATACCCGAGTAAAAATCGAGCGTCAATGCATGTTACTACATCTAAATTTAAATGTTATATGTGTGAACAAAACCATGCGATATATCGATATCCAAAATTTATAGGTATCGGCGTCCGCGAACGACAAGTACAGGTAGACAAATTAGGCATTTGTGCAGTATGCCTAAGTCGACACTTGGGAGATAAATGTAAATTTGATGGCTGCAAAAAATGTGGGGAGAAGCATAATACGTTGCTTCATGATCAAAAGGCACCAGAAATAATTGCCGAAACGTCGATAAGTACACATGCTGCGCGTAGCGCCATAAAACAAATTTTGTTATCAACCGGCTGACAACTGCGATAATTAAAATTGAAGGTCGATCGAAATAAATATTTCACGCGCGCGCGTTGTTGGACTCAGGTTCTCAATGTAATTTTGTAACCAATGATTTAGCACAAAAATTACAATTGCCGCGCAAACGAGTGAAATTTTCTATTTCAGGTGTTAATAATTCAATGAGTCAAGCTCATTATTCAGTAAAAACTACTATTCATAGTAAAGATACGGCCTATAGCGGTGAATTCGAATTTCTAACTTTACATAAAATTACGACAACTTACCTATGCAAAGTTTTGACACGACAAAATTAGGTTTACCTAATTATATAAATTTGGCGGATCCGACGTACGCGATTCCCGGTAAAATAGACGTATTAATTGGTGCCGAATGTTCTTATGATATTTTACGTCCTGGAAAATATAAAGCTGCGGAAAATGGTATTATATATCAAGAAAGCGAATAAGGTTGGATTGCCGCCGGCCCCACACACAATTTAGCGCAAACCGCCGTAAAATCATTCGTCACGATGACTAAGTTGTTGGAAGACTGACGCGGTCCCGCGTAATATTCCGTTTGAATTCAAACGGCCTTTACGCGGAAAACCGCGGAACGACTTCTCTATCCAACCGCCAGCGACGACGGACGACGCCGACGCACGACAACGGCGTCGGAACGTCTTGACCGCCGATACCGCGAACCGGTCCGACGACCGGAGTTTTAGTTTTTTCCATACACCGTACGCGGTAACACCACGAGTGAGACCCCTCTCCATTGATTGTCACAGTAAAGTTTTGTACACCTGGACAATTTCACAGAATTGTCACTACCGACTATCTTGGTTTTCTTTAACACAAATTGTTTTGTTCGTTCACATCAATAAACCGGTGAAGACCGACTTTTACCGAAAAACGGAATTGTGTTATATATTTTTGCTACCTCAACACCCAACCATCCCATTCCACCTCCAGGTACGCATCAAGACAGCGCCAACCTGAATGAGCAGATAGCAAAATTTTGGCAAATTGATGATACCAGCAAAACACCACAGGATTACACCGATGAAGAAAAAGTATGTGTCGAGCATTTTAATCGAACAGTAAGACGAGATACAACGAAAAGATTCGTGGTAAAATTACCATTACGCGAAAATTACGATAAGCTGGGTGAGCCGAAAAGTACGGCACTTAAACGATTTTTGGCCTTGAAAAATCAATTCAAGAATAATACAAAATTACGTAGTGATTATATCGATTTTATGAACGAGTACATACAACTACGTTATATGTCAGAAATGTCATTACCGTCGGCGTCCGCGAAACTGAAACAAGTTAGTATATGCCTCACCATTCTGTCGTACGCGCCGACAGTACTACGAAGTTACTAGACGAAAACACGCGTAGTATTTGACGCGTCGTGTAAAACGGACTTGGGAACGAGTTTAAATGACATACTCGTAAAAGGCCCAGTAATTCAAGATGAACTTATTTGCATAATATCAAGATTTAGGACACACAAATACGCCATGTCAACGGACATTGAAAAAATGTATCGTCAGATATTAATAAGCGAAGAAAATAGGTCATTACAAACTATATTATGGCGATCACAACCCAGCGATAAATTAAAAGAGTATTGTTTAAATACGATAACGTACGGAACAACACCCGCGTCATATTTAGCCATCGCGTGTCTCGAAAAATTAGCGCATGAATGTGAAGAAAAGGCTCGTTGGCTTCTCGGGCGATTAATTCCGATTTTTATATGGACGATCTTTTAACGGGCGCCAACACGATTGCAGATGCTGTTAATTTAAGAAAGGAGGTGATAAACACTATGAACAGTGCTGGATTCATATTACGAAAATGGATATCTAATGAGCCCGCATTATTGACAAATATATCGAATAATAATGACGATCCAATGTTCATCCTAAATATAGACGGCACCGCGGTAAAGACGCTAGGATTGTACCGGGATCCTCGGATGGACGCTTATCAGTACAAAATTAGTAATCGCTATTATACTAACGACCTGGCGATGTCGAAAAGAAAAGTATTGTCTACCATTGCGACAATTTACGATCCATTAGGATTAATCGGTCCTGTAATCGTAACCGCAAAAATTCTAATGCAAAAGCTATGGCAACACAAATTAGAATGGGATGATGTATTGCTGGTGCAATTAAAGGAAGAATGGGGCAATTATCTTGAAGAGTTAACTGACATTGAAAATATAAAAATTCCACGAAGAATAATAGGCGTTGAGAATAATAATGAAATCGAAATGCACGGTTTTGCCGACGCGTCGATTTGCGCGTATGAGGCATGCATTTACTTAAAGGCTACGGACGAATACGGTAACTGCACAGCGCGGCTGATCACCGCGAAATCACGCGTAGCGCCCTTAAAGGTAGTATCGCTTGCCCGATTAGAGCTTTGCGCTGCCGTTTTATTAATACAGCTGGTAGAAAAGGTGATACCGAGTTTAAAAATAAAAATAAAAAATAAGTATTATTGGACCGACTTGACCATAGTATTAGCCTGGCTAAATTCACAATCGTCAAGGTGGAAAATGTTTGTGTCGCACAGAGTCGGTGTAATTCATAATTATTCGTCAGCCGATTAATGGAATCACGTCAAGTCACAAGACAATCCCGCTGATATTATATCACGTGGCTGCAGTCCTAATCAATTAAAACATAATGTTTTATGGTGGGAGGGTCCTGCGTGGATGAAAAAAGAAAAATCGGAATGGACAAAAAACACGTTCAATTGCAGAGACTTACGAAAAAAGGATGATCTAGAAGAAAGAAAAAATCAGATTGTCACTTTGGTCCAAACAGAAGAAACAAATTTAATTACGAAATATTTATCGTTAGCAAAATTATTAAAAATAACTGCATACGTATTACGTTGGAAACATCGCATCGTAAAGAGAGATAAAAATACTGCGATACAAAATATTACGTACGGACCTAATGCGGCCGCGATAATATCGGTCAATGAACTTGAGTACGCGCGAACAAAAATACATCAAATAGTACAATCGAAATTTTTCGCAAACGAAATAAAATGTTTAAAAAATGGTAAAGGTGTATCAAATAAAAGCAAGTTGTATTTATTAAATCCTTTTTTAGATCAAGATGAAATAATAAGAGTTGGTGGAAGATTAAATAATGCAAAAAATATGCAACGGGATAAAAAAAATCCGATAGTACTTCCAGCCAACACTCATTTCACAAAATTAGTATTTAGTCATGAACACATAAAATTACTTCATGCGGGACCACAAGCACTATTAGCATCCGTACGCGAAAAATATTGGCCGTTAGGTGGACGAAATGTTGCAAAAAAAACAGTGCATAAATGTATCTCGTGTTTTCGCACTAAGCCAGCCTATGGCGCCGAGACAGTATTAAAATAGTCGGGCAAACTTTCCATTATAGGCAATACATCCACCACGTACCCTCAAAAAAAATTTTTTACAAATGAATGGGGGGCAGAGCCCCCCATACCCCCCTTAATAATATTCCTCTATTTAAAACAACACACATTTTTATATAATTCTTTAAAAATTATTTAAATATATTATAAAAATTATTAATATAAGTACACATAACTTGAAACAGTTGTAATACCGTAATAATATAAATTATAAGTTACTAATAATTAACAATAGAATTTCGCAAATAAAATATTAGTAGTAGTAGTTATAAATTATAATATAATAAAAATATATAATTTTAACTTTTAAATAAATAATTTTTATTTATTTTAATGATAATCACAGTAAAGAGTAAAACTTAAAACAAATTAACAAAAAATAATTAGATTATTTTAGTATTTTAATTTTTTATTTAAAACTGTAGATTTTGTAGCAAAGTTATCTATTATTGTTTCTGAATCTAACTGTATATCAGCTTCACAGGTGATACGCATAAGATCTTCCAATCTATCTTCCCCCATTGTGCTTCTTAAACGAGTTTTTATTAATTTTAATTTGGAAAAAGATCTCTCTGGGGAACAGCTTGATACTAGAATAGTCACTCCAATTTTTATAAGCATAAATAAACTTGGAAAAATAGATTTTAGACCAGCTTTACAGAAATCTTGAAAAACACACATTAAACTTGATGAATTTTGCCACCTTTTTAATTGTTCAGATGTAGTATTGTCACTGTTTGAATCGTTAGAGCTCAAACTTGAATTGTAATAATTTAAATTAGGATGCAAATACAATGGCAAAGTTTCATTAACAATTAAATCACAATTTATAAGCTGTTCATACTCCATACGTACATCTTCTAACTTTAATAATGTATGATATACCAAACAAACAGCCTTAAATGCATCTATAGGAATGCTTTTAGGGTTTTTTTTTAATTCTTTTATACGTTTGGTTGATAATAAAGCAAAATCTTTCATTACTTCAATAGTTTTATCAGTAAATCTTTGACTAATTTGTGTTTTAATAATATCTAATGCTAAAAAATAAGTATCTACCTTAAACTTTTGAATAGGATTTTGTTCAACTTCATCACTACATAATTCCCCGGCCATTTTTCTAACTTTATGTTTTCTTGTTGTCTGCAATGGCTCAAATTCCACATTCTCATATTTATCATCAAATTCTTTAGCTAATATCAAAATATTTTCAAATGTTTCTTCAGTTCTCAGTGCCACTATGGACTTTTTAGCACTATTAACTAAATACATCGCTGCTAAAATATCTATGTCACGAGCTTGTAATGTACGGGTTAATGGTTCAAGTATTTCAAATATTTTTTTAAAACTAAGAGCTGTCATTAAAAACCTATAAGAAGTCAGGTAGTTAAGCAGTCCATTACAATCAGCACCAAGTTTGAAATCGGATCCTCCGTCTCTATTTCTTACTTCTTCTATCGTTTGATAAACTGCATCGTAAACATCAAGTACGGTATTGAAGGCATATGCATGTGACGTCCAACGAGTAGTGTTTACACGTTTCACTGATCTTATTTGTTGTTTTGGATAGAGTTCTTATTGTTTTTCTCTAAAAAAAGCTGATCGTGCTTTACTTCCAGTGATAAAAGTAAATATTTTTTCTAAATTTCCAAATAGATCCACTGCATTTGAACAAGATCCTACTGCCTGACTAGCTATTAGGTTTAACCTATGAGCAGAACACCAAATAAATAGGGCTTGAGGATTTTGTTCCAGTATTTTAGCTTAAAGCCCATTGTACTGTCCACTCATGTTTGCAGCACCATCATATTATAACTGACCCACTAAATTTGATTTCCAATCAAGATTATGATAATTAAAAACATTTTGAAATAACTCAGAAAGATGAACTCCGGTAGTGCATGGAGATTCTCTCAATGCTAATAATCTTTCCATAACTGTACCATTAGTTTCATTAACATACCTTATGATAAAAGAAACCTGTTCCTTACGGGATATATCAAAGGTAGAATCGAGTGAAACACTGAATATTCTTGATGAAATAATATCAGATTGAACAATTTGTGATATGTATTCTGAAACAGATTCAATTAAAATATTTTGGCGATCCCAGGAAATAAAAGATGTATTTTTACGACCTTTTAATTTAAGAGTTGAAACATGAGACGCAAGTGCCGGCGAATGTTCAGATAACAGAAGTACCAAGTCTTTGAAATTACCTTTGAGTTGATCAGTCCAGCGTTCTCTATGCCCTCTAAAAGGCAAACAATGGCGTCCCAAAAAGACTGTTATATCTATTAGTTGTTTCACAATTTCCCTATTAAGAGCTACACTTGATTTTCGGTTTACTTCTAAGGATGGAATTAAGGGTAAAACAGATTCCCTTAACCTCATTTTTAATGAAGCTTCAATATGAGCATTAGTTGTTTCATGGTTAACTATTGCAATGCCCATATTCTTCCAGTGAGAAAATCCAACTTTTACCCAAGCTTTAACGGTTTTTTTCCTAATAAAATACAGTCTAAACAAAATATCTTATTTAGCGATGGTGAATAAGTTAACCAGTTTCTTCTTGTTTTAGTTCCATCTGTATGAGTTCTGTAGTACCATTCTGCATGAAAATGCCGTCCATCTTTGTCTTTTAAAAATTCTTTATTTGGTATAACATCACAAGTTGGCTGACACGGTCCCCATTCTACAATCATACTTATAATTTCTGGTGTAAAATGCTTAATTTTTGTTAACAGGAAGGGATCATTTTTCCAAGTTGAGGCTGCTGATAATTCAAAAAAATCTTCAGAAGTATTCTCCTATAACAAATTTATTTATACCTTATAATTATTATGTTTACTTAAACAAATAACTACACAAAAAAAATTACTTAATTTTGAATTTAATAGTTTATACTTAATATTTTCCAAAGTAAAACATCACAATTATTATATAATTATAAATTCAATATACCTAAAACTTAAGTAAATGAGTAATACAAATTTATAAAAAATTCATTTTTATTTAAATTATTTAATAAAAAACTCATTAAATAACAAATAAAAACAGTTATTATCGTTTTATAAGAAAAATATAAAACTTAAATAAAAATAATTTTCCACCATTGATACAATATTGTGGTAGCTAGAATTCTAAAATGTTGGTTTAAAAATTGTTCAATTTCTCAGACATTTTAGAATATGTAATCAAAATTCAAGGTTGAAAAAATATTTCTAATAAGTCTTATACTAATCAGTTATCTTAAACAATCTACTTAATACTTACTACAATACTACCAATTTATTAAGTATTTATATAAATAATAAAAATAGTTATCAGTATCTATTTTTTTTTTTTTTTACTAGTCAAATAACAATATTGTTTTTAATCAAAAATATAATTGCTTACCTCCAAAAGATGTAATTGAGTAGATTCACAATTTTCCAAATACAATAGGTTATCCTTTTCTACACTTGTAGGGTCTTCATAAGCTTCAGGCGAATTTTCTGTCATTAATAGATTTAAAGAATTTATATAGTAAATTTAGTTGTAAAACAATAAATAAAAATTCCTTTTTAACACATGAAATGTACAACAAAAAATTATAATTAAAAACATGTATTTTTAATTGTAGCTTTTTGTATTTTTTTTAATAAATTGTAAATGTTTTATTTTAATTTGGTAAAATGCCAATACATTTTAAAATTATAAGTAGATAAATAATTTTTATAATTACCTGCAGTTGGAGTGTCAGTTAATAAAATCTCACTCATTGATGTCATATGAATCTGTTTATCAGAATCAGGATTTTCTGTTTTTCGGTCTTTTATATGAAAAAATGATTTAATATTGCCACATCGATCATTTTTAAATTTTTTGTTTGGTTTAGTTATTTTTGTCGAAAATAAAAGTTCACACTTAGCTAAATGGCAATTCCAATTTACTTTATTCAAATTATTTCTTAAACGATTACAAAAATTACATTTTTCACTTTCACTAGACATATTTGAATTAGCTATTGAACTCAAGTCTAAACCAAAACTATTAAGTAATTAATATTCAAATTAAATCACAGATTTCGCAATAAAAATTGACAATCCACAAAAAAAAAATCTTGTTTTGAATCATTAAAAGATAACACCAGAGATAAATAAAATAGGTAACAAATGTTCAATATTTAAAATCGTCCGACAATTTCTTTCTAATAACTATGAACTAAGAAAAGAAGGCTGAAGAGTACAACAATAATTGCGCCAATTGCGGTTATAACATAAAAGGCACACTGGACAGGGCGATACCCGTTTGCGTACATTTAACCTTTTTTGCGACTCGTTTG